CAATGCGCCAATGCTGTAAACTTTTATTCGGTATTATTGTCTACGGCAATAGTCGACGTAGCCGATACGCACGGTAAACATCATAAAGCGCGGGTTCTGCTCGATAGTGGAAGCCAAAGATGTTTTGTTACCGAACGGTTATGCAAATTAATCGATGCTCAATTGATACAGTCCACTAATGAAATTAGAGGTGTAGGAAATTCGGTAATACAATGTTCGCAAAGTTGTAATGTCGTTATTAAGTCATGCTCCGATAATAAATATACGACGCGAATTAACTGCTTTGTTTTGCCACAAATAACGTCTGCATTGGCTAACACTTGTCGATTAAGCGCAAAAATTTGTCTTCCAGAGAACATTTACTTAGCTGACCCACAATTCTTAGAATCGGGAGCAATTGATATCTTGATAGGTGCAGATAGATTTTGGGACCTGTTGACTGATGGTAAGATACGTTTACCTAACGGTCCGTACTTACATAATACGCGACTAGGGTGGATTATTTCCGGTCCGATCCTGGATAATTCGAGAAATACGAATTTAGTTCATTGCAATGTCATTCATTCGTTAGATTCTCAATTACGAATGTTTTGGGAATTAGAGGAGTTGCCTAGGGTCAGTGATACGCAGACTGACGAAGAGCGTGCTTGCGAGGAGCACTTCATTCGCACCACTACGCGCAATAGCGAAGGTAGGTTCTGCGTCAACATGCCCTTCAAACAGTCACCGGACGTTCTGGGTGAATCTTATACACAAGCCGAGCGCCGATTTCTAGCGCTTGAGAAAAAATTAATGCGATATCCCAATTATAAATTACTTTACGCAAATTTTATGCATGAATATTTAAGCTTAGGCCATATGTCCCGAGTACACACATTCGATTCTCCGTGTTATTTCATGCCACATCACGGCGTTTTCCGTGAACACAGTACTACGACCAAATTAAGAGTTGTATTTGACGCCAGTTGTCCAACCAGTTCAGGAAAATCCTTGAATGATTTGCAATTAGTAGGTCCAGCTATACAAGGCGATTTGATAGCAATACTTTTGCGCTTCAGACAACATAAATATGTCGTATGCGCGGACGTCGAAAAAATGTACCGACAAGTTCTTATTGATCAGAATCAACGTAGTTTGCAACTGATTTTGTGGCGAGACGATCCGTCGCAACAAATAGGTATTTACCAATTAAATACGGTTACGTACGGAACCACTTCCGCTCCTTTTTTGAGTGTAAGGTGTTTAAAATATTTAGCGGCCGAGTGTACTAATGATTCGGATGTGCAAAGGGTCATCACTGAATGCGCTTACGTGGATGACTTTTTGTTCGGTCATGATGACAAATCTAAGCTGTTGGAGCTGTGCAAAAAAACGGCTGATTTGCTTAAATCGGGTTGTTTTCCACTACGAAAGTGGAACTTTAATTTTCAATTACACGACAGTAATGAATCAAACTATTGCAAAGATTTAACATTAAACGAAAATGTCAGCTCTAAAACGTTAGGTTTGGGTTGGGACAGCTTAAACGATAATTTTTATTATACTACGCAATTTCAAACAAATAACAAACTTGTCACGAAGCGTTTTATTCTTTCAAATATATCCCAAATATTTGACCCGTTAGGCCTTTTGAGCCCAGTAATAATCGTCGTAAAGGTGTTATTACAACAGCTGTGGCTACTAAAAATAGGTTGGGACGATGCTTTGCCTAATGAATTTATACGTACATGGAACCGGTTTGTTATGTCACGAAATATTCTCACTACGTTACGCATACCTAGACACGCTATAGATACGCAACCTATCTGTGTACAACTGCATATTTTCTGCGATGCTTCACAAACGGCCTACGGCGCTTGTGTTTACGTGCGTACGATTAATGTCGATTCATCGGTATCTGTACGCCTTTTGTTTTCGAAGGCAAGGGTAGCGCCCTTAAAACCTATAAGCATACCACGACTTGAATTATGCGGCGCTTTATTAGGTGCAAGATTGTATGATAAAATACGAAATTCGCTAAATTATAACTTCACTAATATAGTATTTTGGACAGATTCAACCATTGTGCTAGGATGGTTACGTATGGCACCAAACCGATTAAAAACTTTCGTGTGTAACAGAACTGTAGAAATTCATGAGTTAACTCAGGAGTTACCGTGGCGTCACGTGAACAGTATTGACAACCCTGCTGACCTTGCGTCCCGTGGTGTCGATTTGGAAGAGCTGGCTTCTTCTACCTTATGGTGGGATGGTCCTGACTTTTTGAGGAGTCCCAGTTTTAATGTAGACAATTTCGTCAACACGGGCTCATGTGATAACGAGAATTTACCTGAGGTCAAGGCAGTTATGCAATCATTTATAGTTAAGGACGAGTCGAACTCACTATTTCCCTTTAATCGGTTTTCACAATATCGTCGTATGGTGCGTGCCATGGCCTTTGTGTTACGTTTTATAAACAATTCACGCAGAAAAACAAGCAAAAGGACAGGTCAATTGAATTTAGAGGAACTTAAAATCTCTGAGTTAACATTAGTTCGTTTATGCCAAAGAGAATCTTACCCTATTGAACATAAATTATTATTAAATAAAGAAACGTTAAAGTCTAAAAATTATTTGTTAAAATTGAATGTATTTTTAGATGACAATCACATAATGCGAGTAGGTGGACGATTAGATTATTCGGAATTCGATTATTGCAAAAGGCACCCTATTGTTATTTCAAGTAAGCACTATTTTACTTTATTATTGGTCCGTCATAAACATGTTCAGCTACTTCACGCAGCCCCACAAGCATTATTATTTCACTTACGTGAATCGTGGTGGCCGGTAGGAGGCAGAAATCTTGTGAGACAGGTGGTACATAAATGTGTTATTTGTACACGCCTCAGAGGTAAGACACTTACACCTATCATGGGTAACTTACCCAAGGAACGGATCACTCCAAGTTTTCCCTTTAATCATTGTGGAGTTGACTACTGCGGGCCAGTGTTTATTTTGAACCGCAAAGGTAGGGGGGCAAAATTAGTAAAGGCATACATATGCTTGTTCATATGTTTTGTCACGCGCGCAATACATTTGGAATTAGTTAGTGATCTGTCCAGTGAGTCATACTTATTAGCGCTAAAGAGATTTATTTCACGGCGCGGTAAGCCCTCAGAAATCTACTCAGATAACGGCCGAAATTTCGTAGGGGTAAAGAATGATTTCTCAGAGTTCTTACGCAATTGCGACGCAGAAATTTTAGAGTATGCAACAGGCCAGCAAATTAGATTTAAGTTCATTCCGCCTTATTCGCCTCATTTTGGTGGTCTTTGGGAGGCAGGAGTCAAATCGTGTAAATTCCATATTCGTCGTGTGATAGGAAACGCGCACCTCACCTTCGAGGAGTTCAACACGGTGCTATCACAGATAGAAGCCGTCCTTAACTCCAGACCTCTGTCTCCTCTTTCCTCCGATCCACAGGACCTTGTACCCTTAACTCCTGCTCATTTTCTGGTTGGTCGGCCACTTACTGCCCTGCCTTGTGAAGACATGTCCGCAATTCCTGTCACTCGTCTTAACCGATACCAAAGAGTAGAACAATTACGACAACATTTCTGGTCCCGTTGGGCAAGGGAATACATATCTGGATTACAGGTGCGGACAAAAAATGGACGCAGCACAAAGGTGATCTAAGTCCTAATTCCTTAGTAATCATCAAGGACATTAACATGCCGCCGTTGAAATGGCAAATGGGTCGAGTACTTCGCACCATACCCGGCAGGGATGGCGTTTCTCGTGTTGCGGAGATTCGGACGACGTCGGGCGTAGTGAGGCGTGCCTATGCAAAAATCTGTCCCCTGCTACCAGAAGAAGACGCCAAGGCTGAGCAATAACTTCGAAAGGCGCTGCTTTCAAGGTCGGGGGCATGTTCGCGATCAAAGTTCGCTGATTCGAACAGGGTGGCGTTGTAGAGGTGTCGTTGCGCATCTGTGCAATCGACGCCCAATAAAATTTAAATCCGGACTTTAGGCCAATCATATTCAAATGTCAATATAACCGTTAAAAATTGTTCCTCTCCCTCTTATCCTCGAATCTTGTACATTAAAAGTAATTAATCGCAATACAGTTTTCATAACGATCGCACGGTTTTAATTCTGATCCAAAGCCTAGGAAAGTAGACACGCAGTCAACCTACACGCCAGTTATTCGTGAGCATCAACATACTGTCTATTTGTCTTTCCGATTTGCATAATAATTTTTGCCGTATGAAAATATTTTGTGTGACCGATGTTAGTACACAACTCTTTACAATAGGTTATACGCAAACCCTGTCGTAAAAGGCAACTAAAAGGGGACACGGATTGGCATCGGCTCGAAGTGGTCTCGAGCTGCTGCAAGATGGCGAGGGAATTGGGGAGGGTCTTTCCTTCTCCGAGGCGTGCTCACGCGCAGTAGCGAGGGACACCGGTGCGTTCCGTAGATCTCCTGGAGTCTCTCCAAACGTACAGAAGGTGGCCACCCAGGGGGTTTTAGTCGGTAAGAACCCCCCATAACCCTGTCATGTACGGTGACAGGGTATCGATTGAAGATTTCCCCCACGATACAAAAAAAAAAGGTTATACGCAAACCTATGGAGGCTAGCGGTGCGCGTACATAAGTAAAGTAAAGTATCAGCCTGTACATATCCCACTGCTGGGCAAAGACCTCTTCTATACAGAGGGTATCAGGGCATAGTCCACCACGTGCCCCACTGCGGATTGGCGGACTTCACATATCTTCGATATATGTATTTTTTTGTTATTATTTCGAAAATATGCAAGTTTCCTCACGATGTTTTCCTTCACCACTTGGCACGTAATAATTCGGCACTTAGAATTAACAATTTCATTGGTGCCGGCACCGGGGGTCGAACTCAGGTTGCTCGAGTATATTGAATGAAAGGCGAGCGCCCGGCCACTGAGCTATCACGGCTTTATAACGGCGTACATAACAAAAAGGAAAATAATCAGTTCCACTCACTTGCACAGTACGGTCTTGTTTCCCGAGTCGAAGAGCCCGCCGCGTCCCCAGCGGCTGGGCAGCTCGGCTACGGTCACGCCCCGGGAACCGAACAGGCACAGGCGACCGCCGCAGTCGCTGCTCGTCAGCCGTTCCACCTTGTACGCGGGCGGCGTGAGCAGATGTAGCTTCTGGAAGCAAAAAACACAATTAGATGAAGTTCTTGCGTCGGTCAATCGCAACTCACAATATTGGTACTTAGTTGTTAATATAAATCAATCTGAACTCGGCACAGATAAATGAGAAACAGAAATGATATAGATGAAAATATTATAAAGCATTTCAAAGAAATCAGTTATAATTTTTTTTGGTTGTAATAGCGATAGACAGATGATAGTCAAATCGTTATTGGAAATAATTGTAAATAGTTAATAATGACAATTCGGATTCATGTAAGTTGTGGGTTCAATTAACGGAAATCCATGAGAGCCTTTATTCCTATTTTTTTCCTTTCATTATCTTACCTTTGCGTGACCTCCATTATTGGTTGCGGAAGTAAATGAAAAGAACAGATATAGAAATACGTTGATTAAAACATGAATTGCTTGATTGAGGCATATTGTGCGGACAATAAATGTTTTGATATGGCTCACAATTATTTGGGAAAATATCTTAAAGACCCACAACGTTTTTACGCTGCCCTAGCAATGTGTAAATAGGATTTTTGTTTTAAATGTAAGTTGATTTGTCCTATTTACGTGAAAACTCTACACTCTTTAACAACCGTAGTTTACTTGAGGGATTTTATATTGGTCAATTTTCCTTTCGAACGAGTTGGTAAGGTGTCGGGAAATGTACTATGTAATTATTTAGGCTGAAACGCATAAGAAATATTAGGCTATTTATTATATTTATATTTTCTCATAAACGATTGTCGTTAAAAAGTGTTACTCATATCGAAGTGTGCAATAATCTACCTAGAATAAAACTGCCCGAAAAATATGAAATTAACTCAAGTTATTTACCAAGGAATTTTACACAATTATAATATCATCAATAATAATTATCACATCGAAATGGAAGACGATGGGCACTGGACGGTAAATGCCTTTTTACTCTTGGATACGTATCCAACGTTTCTGCGATAAATTCGGACAGAATTTCGCATATTGTCACCACCCAATGGTGGTCACAGAGGGTATAGCTGTTCGACTATGGAGAGGCGTGGAAGGGATCGCGCGCCACTATACCTTACACCTTCCAAAGTGCAAATCTAGAAGGCTGCTAGCCATAAAAGTGCCAGTCCTTGGAAGCCGGAAGAAACGCTACAGCATTTTTTTTATGTGAAAAAGTAGCAAACAGGCTGGCGGTTCGCCCGATGTTAAGTAATAAGCGCCCATGGACATTTGCAACACCCGTAGGGATGCAAATGCGTTGCCACCTTTAAATAAAAGTGGGCCCCGGCCACCTCACTCACCGTACGAAACCGGCCGGTCTTCCGTGAGGTCGTGGTACTTATCCGGACGGGGTAAGTAACAGAATTGCATTGGGAGCTCGACGGCCAACTATCCATCTGGATGGGAGTAAGAAAGTTTTTTAATCAATAGCAGAGTGCAGCGATCGGGGTGCGGCGCGTTCGTTTTTTCGCATTATCTCTCACTAGCGATCCATCCCGGCATCGCGCGGATGCAATCACTCTATCTAGTAAAAAAACCGCATCAAGATCTGTTGCGTGGTTTTAAAGATCTAAGCATACATAGGGCCAGATAGACAGCGGGAACTGTGTTAGAGCCATGCAGCAGCCACGGCTATTGCACGAATGGGCAGGCTCATCCGGGTAAGTACACGGTTCTCACAGAAGACCGGCGTAAAGTGGAAGTATGACAAATACTTTCACGTTTCGTCTGGTGAGTGAGGTAGCCGGAGCCCAATTTTCAAAAGGTTGTCAACGTATCTGCAACCCTCGGGTGTAGCAGATGTCCATGGGCGGCGGTATTCACTTAACATCAGGTGAACCGTCTGCTCGCTTGGCAACTTTTCACATAAAAAAAGCAGACAGCGGGACGACTTTGTTTTACTGTGTAGTGATTATTACGAGCCCCGTCTCGTCTTACTTGCGATCGCTTATGGTTTGACGGCCGCGCCGTCGGCGGCTGCCGTTTTTGGTAGGAAATTGAAAAAGTTGCCGGCCTCCGAGCGCGAAATTGTTGTTTAATCTCGATCCCTACGAGCTTTGGGCGCGGTGATGATCACGCTGTAACATTTCCATTCAAGAATTTCCTCGTGGACGTAATTGAATTGATTACGCTATTACTTTATTCCAACTGTGGCAGGGCCACGCAACAGTTTTCACTATTGCACGAATGGGCAGGTCCATCAGGGTAATTGCTATGACCTCACAGAAGACCGGCGTAAAGTAGAAGTGTTACACTTCTGCGCTTCGTCTGGTGAGTGAGGTGGCCGGGGCCCAATTTATTTAAAGGTGGCAATGCATTTGCAACCATAGCCATTTTTCACATAAAAAAAATATTACGGCGTTTCTATTTAAAAAATTCACCGTAGACGTCAATGCGCTAGGGGCCTATATATACAACGATACATTATTCTAAGCATTGTTGATATGCAAAAAGCAATCGATTATGCTGGCAAGTTCAACGAAATGTAGATCCTAGTAGAACGTCTAACCGTAGACTAGAGAAAATTATTAAAAAGAAAGAAAAAGAAAATTATAAAATCACTGCTAAATTTCTACTGTTCAAAACGTGTTTACGTCATGTTATTCAAAGATTTCAAATTGGAATAAATAAAACTATAAGAATTGAACCTATCTATTAAAGAAATACATCGAAAACTTATTACCATATTCGCCTTCTATTTATATATACAGATAGTTACGAACAATTTTGACTGCCCGAATATAAAGTGATAACCAAAAAAAAAAAAAGAAATACATAAACTTTATTCGAACATAAGTTGAGAGATCTCTTAAATCGCAATTGAAATTATGCATTATCATCATTATCAGACGTTCCAATTTACATTGCGAAGTTGTACTCGTAATTTATTGGCGCCGTCGCTGGAAAATATGACCGAAAGAGGGGAATAAAAAACAACGCATTGACCGGGCTACAATGAACGGTGACCGCGGCGCGCTATAAATTGCGGGCTTCCGACGTATTCGAAACTTAACCGTTCTATTTCGAGCGGTAACGATGCTAACGTTTAGAGTTAGCCGCGAAGCTTTGTTACGTGAACGGGCGATTATTTTGGATGCGTTATAAATGTTACAAGTGTTATAACCTCTGCGTTTCGTCTGGGTCTGAGTGAGGAGTGATGCCAATTTATTATAGGGTGGCAACGCAACTAACCCTACGGGTGTTCTTCTTGTATCTTGTATTAACTGATGTTTTTGCTTTCAGTCCCTCGACTATTAAAGCTTCATCTGACACAGAACCGGCGGGCTAGCCAGAACCCGCGGGCTTGGGCCCTCCGCTGTGGATAATGCGGCTTAGGGTGTTGTGAATGCCGATAGGCGGTGGTTGTCACTTAACATCAGGTGAACCGCCAGCTCGCTTGCCTTCAAAAACTTTTAAAGTTCTAATATCTCCACCCAAAATGAAACTTTAAAATTTGCAAAGTAAATTGAACGAAAATGATTGGCGATATCCCGGAAGATAGTCGTGGGTTCGATTGCCGCGACGGCGAAAATCTTTTCGTCGATTTTTTTCTACAAATGTTAACGTTTCATCTGAAGTGCAGAGATTAGCACTGTAAACATTTTAATTTTGAAATAGCAATGGCGACATCTCTTTTTGTAACTATAATTCTTCTTTATTATCTATAGATATAGATAATAAAGAAGAATTACAGTTACAAAAAGATATTTGAAATTGTTGATCTGCTGTGTGATCTCCTACAATAGATTTGTCAAGCATTGCTTGAAAAGCGAAAAAACAACGTAGATGAAACGAAACGCTACAATCGGACACGAGACGGATCATCAACAAACCCGTCTTGACTTGAAAACACTCAAGTCTCCCCTACATCTTGACATACATCTGAAGCTCCTCACACGGCGTCAACGTATGCCGGTACCACTGACCCCCCGACACGGAACTAGCCGGCGCGGTGGTTTACGCCGTCGGGATAAATAAATTACGGGATGTAGAACAAAAATTATATATGCAAATTTCTCACCGCGAGCACAATAAAAAGGCGGCCCCGGTTTCGGCGGGGTGGATATTAAAATTCGAGATGCACGTACCGGGTTAAGCCGGTACACAATTAAACCGGTCTAGGGGGCTGGGGGTTCGCGTATTTAATAAAATAATATATACACACACACGTATAAAACAAAGAAAAAAAACGGCAAGGTGCGAGTCGGACGAGGACCAATAAAAACGGAAAAAAATCACGTCTGTACGAAAGCCCGACTTAAATATTTTTCTATTCATAGTTTTTAATAGTAACTACTAGTTCTAGTTTTTAGTACCTATTTGTTGTTATAGCGGCAACGGAAATACGTCATCTGTGAAAATTTCAACTGTCCAACTATCACGGTTCATGAGATGCAGCCTGGTGATAGACGGACAGAAAGCGGAGTCTTAGTAACAGGGTCCCGTTTCACCCTTTGGATACGGACCCCTAAAAATAAGCGGACGTTTAAAATATTCGGAGCCCGTGCGGCCGCCTATCGCGATCGGTGGCCGCGACAGATACGTGTCGTTGTTCCGTTGCCGTTTTCGGTAGCTGTTGCTGTCGTCGACCGTTTTTTTTTCCAGCTTTTCGTTGCCAGCGTCCCGTTATACGTGACCGGCGAGGAGGCCCGCGAAGATTAGCCGCCCGCGTGCACCCCGACAATAATTGCCGCCGATTTATTTTTTCCCCGCCGCCCCCGCCACGTCCGTACGTGGCATAACATACGTACGTATGTTATGATCGTTTTTTATACGCGACGCCGCCGTTTCGGATTTGTATATCGCGCTTCGCCGTTTGAATGTTAACGAGACGGATTTACGGAGGTGCTTAAAATATGTCAAAATTTATAATAACAAACGAATCGTGCATATTTTTCTTTATGTGATTACGCACAGAACTCGTGCCAAGTTATATAAAAGGTTAAGATTGCATGTACTACATTAAACGATACGATAAAAACTAGTTAAGATGCATAAATCACAAAAATTATTAAGTATGCTTTAATGGTTTAAATTTAAACAAGTATGTTAAAGTGTAAAGTATGTATTGTCTATTTCTTTGACCGTTTAATGCAAAATTACCAATAGATTTTAGACTACGATATTTATGACCCAGATTACTTTTTAATAAAACACAACACGACTGAATTACACACAGAGTTATACACTAAGGAAATTATTCTCATCTATTTCTATACTGATAACAAGACAAAGTCTGCGAATTGTTAAGAAGAAAGTTGTTCCTCGTAAATGTTTTAATTTCGTTGTTCAACATATTCATCAAACATTGTTAATGTCTAAAGACACTGAATACCGATATCGTTTCTTCGTGAAATAGAATATAACAAGCTTGCGAGAGCACTTGCTTGAACTTTCCTTCAAGCTTTCTTTCAAAGCGCAAATAAAAAAGTGTATATCCGGGGAATCCACCGTTAAGCAGCGGCGAAAAATTCCGTAAACGGCTTGACCACGGCACAGCTTAAAATCTCCGGGGATAATCCGTTCGAGACCATAATTACTTTCGGTGGATGTGGTGGGCCAATTTTAATGTAAAATTAAAAATCAACTTATGAATAAAGCATATTGTACCATTTCGGAATATCTCGACGACGCCAATGCGTGGAGTTAATACTGTTGATACTCACGTAGGCTAGAATAAGACTATTATACCTGAATATTATATTGTATCCTGATATTTTTGAAAAAGAGCAACTGTTGAGTTTCTTGCCGGTCTCTTCTCAACAGAAACTGCTTTCCGAACCGGTGGTATCTTACGAACCTATATACATAATCTTTGATGTAAAATTTGACGATAAACAAGAGCGTGCAAGCGTCTATTTGAATAAATATATTTTTGATTTTGATTTTGGGTGATGGCGCAGTCGCTTAAAGGTCCGCATGCACGCTGCGGGTCGTGAATTCGGGTACCTCGCAGCGACGTTTGTTAACGTGAAAAGGTGGCGAACGAGCTGGCGATTAATGCGATGTTAAGCGATAACCGCCGCCCATGGATATTCGCAACACCCGTAGGTTTGCAGGTACGTTGCCACCTTTTAGTAAAGTGGGCCCCGGCTACCTCACTCACCAAACGAAATGGAGAACTATGACACTTCCACTTCACGCCATTCCTCTGTGACAGCGAAGACTATTGGGTGGCCCTACCAGTTTTTTTTTTTATGTGAAAAGTTGCCAAGCGAGCAGACGGTTCACCTGATGTTAAGTGAATACCGCCGCCCATGGACATCTGCTTGTACACCCGGAGTTACAGATGCGTTGACAACCTTTTGAAAATTGGGCTCCGGCTACCTCACTCACCCACCATACGAAACGCGAAAGTATTTGTCATACTTCCACTTTTCGCTGGCCTTCTGTGAGGTCGTGGTACTTACCCGGACGGGCCTGCCCATTCGTGCAACAGCCGACGCTGCTGCGTGGACCTACCACCGTTAAAATGTTATGTTCTTCTTCTTTTCGGGACTTAAAATTGTGTTCAGTACATTTCGTACATCTACTTCGAATTTATCCCATATGATCGATTATTTCGTTGCACATTAAGAAGATCAAATCTTTGTGGAATCCTACTTTTTTAATATACAATAATCCTTTAGTAAAAGATTGGTATAAAAACTGTTTTAAAAGCCTTATAAAATGCAACCGTGAATTTTTGCATAACATTAGGCTCCCAAAATATATTTGTTTATTGATTTTTTTTAAAGTATGTATATAACGTAGTTGCAAGAACAACAATATTGAGAATGCTTAGCTTTAAGGCATGTTAACTTTAATTATAAGTACCAGAGGTGGGAGTCCAATACTTTTAAAATACATTAAGGCTACAATTTGAAACAAATAAGATGATAAAATAAGTAACCTTATTTAAGATACATTAATATTTATTAATTTTGCAATTTCGTACAATAAAAAATATAAGACGAAATGTTGTGAGAGTATTTTGATAACTGGAAATGCGTATTAAAATGAAATTTACCGCTACTCGATACTAGATGGCGTAACCAGTCTCTACAGGAGTGAAATGTATTTTTGCTAGCAGTGTTATTTAATTTAAATCCTTAAGATCATGCGTCTTCCCAGTAATGATTAATCATATTAATTAATGAATGGATGATAAATGCCAGATTTATAAGTTTATATTTCTTTATTACTACAGACGTGAGTCGACAGCCATGTACAGTGAGTTTGGGCCCCACATTCAAGAAGCTATTAAGATGATAAACGTTGGAATAACACCAGTTTGGAACTGAATGTTTAACAAACAAGGAAGTATAATTTTTAATTCAAAAAAAAATCAAAAAAAAGCGGAAACTAAAAACATTGTTAATGCCTATAGCATTTGTGGTTTGTGCTCGATTTCTCTGGGATGGCATCATCAGATCCGTATATTACTTACGTATACGTGTGTCCTTATCATGGTATCACCCTCCTTATCTCCTTTCCAACAAAAAAAGAATCATCTACATCGGTTCATAAACGACGAAGTTTTCCGAGAACACACATAAAAAAAGTAAAAATATATACGGTCCAATTGAGAAACCTCCTTCTTTTTTGAAGTCGGTTAAATACAAGAATATTTTATTAAGAATATTTTTCTTTCTCGAATTGAGTTCTCCTGGTTGTAAGTACCACGCCTCGTAAAAGTGAAGGGAATAAAATGTATACTTTTGTATATCGTCTGATCTGTTGTGTGTCATCACTTAACATCAGGTTTTTTTATAGTAGAAAAACATTTCCCTTACTGTAATATAAAATTAACATGTGTTGCGAGGACGTTTTTACATACATAAATTTCACGTGGACAATTACCCAGATCCGCAACAATTATATGTGGGTCTCACAAATAGTTGTTTCGAGTGGAAATCGAACCCATGACTAGCCCCGGCATCGAAGCCAATATCTTGGCAACTGCGCCATAGAGTCATCAGAGATTAGCCAACTCCATATCCACTTTCCCTCATAGAACAATACTATAATATACATATCAAACTTGACGAATTTTTGTATGAAAAATTCACCCCACTCAATTCCTTAATCAAATACGCAAGGTTTTTTTTTTGTGTGCATCTGTTATATGTATACCGAATAAGTTTTCTTGTGCACCTAAGAATCCTAAGAATTATAAAGTTTTACCACCTTAGTAACTTTTACAAAATTAAAAATGTTATCACGGGTTACATCTTCATACATATCTCAATGCTTCAAGCGTATTAAGCCAATCGATTTTCCATCTTACGAAAATGTCGCTTTTTCCGGCCGACGGAACAATTCTGAACTTTACTTTACAAAAAATGCAATTTCCGGTAACTATCAACGTGTTGAATACATGATTACGCAATGGACTAATATATTTATGGTTACAGTTATGAATTATTCAATGTTTGATAATAATCAGATATAAAAAAATAATTAATAGATTGAAAGCTTCTAGGCTTACAATAACAAAATAACAATCTCTAATGGCTCTATTTAAATATGTTACGAAAATGATCTAAAGTAAATGAGAGATAAAAAAATTCACAATTCCGGTAGTCCGTAATAAACTTGATAAAATATTAGATACTTCACGTCTTTACGAGAGATTGTGCTCCGATAGAATGATGAAATCAGTGATGCCGACAATTGCGTCCAGTACTGCTAATTTTATACGGATTTTATTTTCAAGATTCGAATGATTAGAACTATAAAATGAAACACCGAAGAGTCCTTTGGACATCTCTGGACCGAAATAATGACCGAGGCATATGTGCAAAATAGTAGAGTATCTAACAGAATTTGATGTTAAGTAATTATGGCCCATGGGCTACATGCTCATCCACAGAGAGTTTGAAACTCATGAACGTTTGCTTCCTAGTCTCATAAGCGGACTGACGAGGCGTGCGGGTTCGACTTTGACACAGACTAGCAATGCGGCTCAATAAATCCAGAGTTTCTAGAGGAGCTCTCTCAGAGGCTATTAGGGTGGAGGCGACGTTGATAACGGCGCGACCTCAATTCCCGCGCACCTGTCCGCGACGTCGAAGCGGATAGTTGCCACAACTCCCCGCATAAATCACCCGCCACCGGAGCGACTTACTCTCAGCCGGCCCATTAGCATTTTTTATGCATAGGAATCGATCCGGAGACCGGCTAATGCCTCCCGCGATACATTAATATCTTACTTTTTATGACTACCCACCAGCGTTCGTGACGACGCAAGTCGGAGCGCGCCTCGAGCGACAGTCGACTCTAATCCGTTGTGATAGAGTTCGGAGCGGAAGCGGCGCGCCGATGGAGGATTCTCGCCCGCGCGGAAGTTATGGGAGTTGCAGGAGTTGATAATAGGTGGCGCTGGCGATTTTCTTAACGCCTCCATTTTTCTTTCACGGGCACTTTGAGATTAAAAGTTTGGAAAATGAAATGAAAAGTTAGCGGGCCCCGGTCGGTGCGCGTTGCCCGTATCGGCAGGATTGGGGGATTGCTTTGCGAGTGAGATTCTCCTTGCGAAACTTTCCGGGCGTCCGATTTTCACGCTGCGCTGGGAGGCCGGTTTACGATGTTGCACGTTCCATGAATATTCCCGATCGGTGGGGGTGTTGGAGCTAACGCTACCGTGTTTTCTTAAATAGTTACGTCTTGTACTTTTCACGGGTGGACAGATACTTCTATACGCTTTTCGTGGAGTCTGTCACTAGCGGTCATAGTGACATAAATACAGGGCTTTTGGTACGTTTCTCACGTTTAACGGACGACTTAAATTTAGTCTAGACATTGTCTTGGTTTTAAGCTGATGAGTTCTTTTGCGACAGGTATTTAATAATATGGACGATCCTTTGTTTTAAACACATCTCGGCTACTCATTTCTGATCATCACTACATAGTATAAAACAAAGTCGTCCCGCTGTCTGTCTGTCCCTATATATGCTTAGATCTATAAAACTACGCAACGGATTTTGATGCGGTTTTCTTTAATAGAGTGATTTAAGAAGAAGGTTTCTATGTATAATTCATGCATAATATATTAGAGAAACACTGTTAATTTTAGAGGTTTCTAATGCGCTGTCGAAAAAAACATTCGGCATTGCACCCGTAAAGCCGGGGCGGGTCGCTAGTGCTATATATGTGCTTCGTCGGCTTCGAAATATCACTGCTATACATGATAAGTTTAAGCAAAGTTCCCCTATACTTTGAGCGCATATACTGTAAAGCGGGCTAGCAGTCGGCGATTCGCTGGCAATGACCCAGGCACTATGTTATCGGGCTCTCCCGCCGACCGAAATATAGCGACCCGGGCCGCGTAAGTTATCCTGTAGCACAAATTATCACTCAGATATAATTAATAGTGAGTTTTACTGTGGCATTTTACGCTTAAAGTAAATTTTAAGGTAAATTAAATACTGGATTTTAGACTGATGTCCACGTCCAGAACGTTAGGCCTAAAAGCTACTTGTAGCAACTAGATGATTCAGATCGAGATGTTCTGCAATAGGGTTAGTCTATGTCTAACAATAGACTTCTGAATGTAGTTGGTCTATGATATCTACCAACTACGGTCTTTAGTCTTTAAAATTTTACATTGACAATAATGACAATAAAAATCCAAACGTAACAACTAGCGACAGCTGGAGACGGGCCTATAACACTTCATGCTATTACACAAGTAAGTTATACTTGACAACTTGTAAGTTATACTTAATATATTTACTTATTATATTTATATTAAACGAAGACGATTACACTCTCTGGAAATGGATTGATCGCTCCAGACTCTATCAAGTGACCTAAAAAAATCTGTCATGCTGAGTTTTTTCGCCGGTTCTTCTCAGGTCAGTGGCTTTTCTTTTAGGAATACTGTGACCATCAATTCTGTGTTAATATAGTGTTTTTTAAAAAAAAGATATTTAAATTTGAATTTAAACTATAAATAGTATTTTCCATTACAGACTGATTTTCCATATAAAAATTCTACATATAATGCAATTTATTTATGTAAGAAAGTTTTAAACGAGCTGGCGTTTCTCCTCATGTTAAGTGAAAATCGCCGTTCATTGACATTTACAACATCCGTAGGGTTGCAGATGCGTTGCTACCTTTTATTAAAGTGGGCCGCGACTACCTCACTCATCAGACGAAACGCAGAAGTATAAATACATAAAAACTTCCAATTCACGCCAGTGTTCTGTGAGGTCGTGGTACATACCCTGACGGAACTGCCCACTCGTGCAACAGCGAAAGCTGTTGCCTTGTCCTACCACGATTAAAAAGACCACAGTTAAACTATTTCATATATAACATGTATTTATTTACAAAAGAAAAGTATGTTTAAGTAGGTTTATCAGTTATCTAGTACATACCAATAGCACAAGCGTTGCTGTTTGGGACTAGAAGAACGTTGTGTAAAAGTGCAGACTAAATGTTATTTATATATATAAATTTTATAAGTATAAATACATTAATAATAGTCCATAGCAATATATATTAAGTAGCCCTAATTTCCTTTGTATTTCCAGACCAGATCTGCACCAGATTTAATATACCTTTGTTTAGAGTAAGTTGTAAGTAGCACACGCGAGCTGGCGTAAGCAATACTGGTGTGTAATAATAAGCAGATAAGCTGTTACAAATAAGCGATTCCAGCGCTGCGCACAACCGATACCAGGTCTTGGCACCGGGCCCAAGTCCGCTTGATTAGCCACACCCGCTGGATTTATCTCAGAGCTACGTGTTATTAATTTCGCCATATTTTAATAATATTATTTTATAATAATTTCTTGTATTTACGCGATTACACATTATAAATGATGCAGAGGGAGCTAATTGTATCTTGTCTAGCAGTAGTGGTTCTTTTGGGCTTAGATTTAATTTTATTGATGATAGGATCCCAAGCTGATGGTAGTACCCAACCCTCTTCTCTATTGAAATTAGGGTGTTTTTTAATTTCAATAGCCTCGCGAATCATCCTCGGGAGGAATCGGTGTTCTTTTGCAAGGATCTGTGGTCTATCAAACCTGATGTAGTGGTTGGGCCGATTTAGAGTGTGCTTGCAGGCTTGTTTAATCTACTATGTTTTATGTCAGGTATATGTTCTTTCACGCGGGTTTTTATAGCTCTTTTCGTTTGTCCTATGTAAGAGAGCTCACATTCACAGTCAAGTTTGTACACTCCTGGATCTTGCAGGGATATTACACTTGACAGATGGTAAAAACTGACTAATCTTCTTCAGCGGCTTGTAGAATGTATTAATTGAAGCCCGCTTCGCGAGGCTATTGAAATTAAAAAACACCCTAATTTCAATAGAGAAGAGGGTTGGGTACTACCATCAGCTTGGGATCCTATCATCAATAAAAATAAATCTAAGCCCAAAAGAACCACTACTGCAAGACAAGATACAATTAGCTCCCTCTGCATAGATCGGACACAAAATCAATAATACAAAAACTGACGGTAGCCCGGGTTAACTTTGACAATCAGACGTCTAGCACCTCAGTCTGTCCCGTGACCATGAACGCTGTAAAGGGTTCGAAACGTCGGGAACTAAAATTAAAAATAAACGCGATAAATCCGTAAAATTAGTTTCATTTATAATATTATTTTATGTATATATTTTTTAATAATTAATTTTTTTTCCTGTTATTTTACTACAAAAATATTGCCGTTATACAATTGTGCCCTCGCCTTACGCCATGGATTAAAATTATAATGATCGACAATTGTTTCACAGCATTCAAATTAATGCTGGGTGACTGTTTATATTTTATTGCTAATCTGCACTCTAGATGAAGTTTAAATGAGACTAAGATATTTTTTCTACAATTATCAGTTAAACTCTCATTTAAATGCACATTTACGTTACGACGTTTGGCAGTGTCATCATGTGTTTATCGGTGAAGGGAAACGTGAGGAAACCTGCATATTTTCTAAATAATAATAAAAATATTTCAAAGAAATGAAAGTGTCGTACTTCTGAGCTTCGTCTGGTGAGCCAGGTAGCTAGAGCCCACTTAGAAACACCTATTACAAACTCTGTCTATACATACTTTTAAAACGAAATATAGTTTGAAAATTACTGCTTAATTTACAAAAGGAAAGAAGAAAAAAGTTACGAATTTTGTTCGTTATGATTTATCTTTGTTTATCCGTATTTAATTTTATTTATTGTATTCTTATATTGTTATATTTTATTTTTATTTTATTATCTGTTGCCTGTATGCATGGAGCTAAACGCCAATCTTTTAAGTCATCCGCAGAAAACCGGTGCCGTGATACTTTCTGCCGCGGCTACATACTGAGCGGAGACCTTTTTGGTGCATACATTTTTTTTCCTTTTCTCTTACGATTTCATTGCTATTCTTGTCGGTGCCACTCTCACATAAAAATAAGCGGCAGCGTCAATGTGTTCCGAATACCAGGTTCAATGGAGGCGGCCGGACTAATGTGCAAAAAGAAAAAGAAAACCAATTTCCCCCCGACGGCGCAACAAAGGAGCGCTATCTAGCGATAAATTATCGAAATTATTGCATTAAAAATTCCATCTAGTAAGTCAAAGCGGACCATTACGGCAGAGGCGGCGACTATCCTCGGACTCAGAAGGACGTAACTGCATACTGGCTACGGGAGGAATATGCCGCTTAAGATCAGTATGCTACGTGTTGTGGGAATAGCGATAATGATTTTTTTTGTATACTGTACCATCGTGTGAGATCAAAAACAAATTTAATCGGAGAGCTAATTGTTTAACTTATAAGGTTTCTTAATATATATATATATATATATATGAGAGAAGAGGTCAAAAATAGTTTTTGTGCCGTCCTCAAGTAACAACAAAAAGATTTTATTTAAAAGCTCTGTCCAATAACTTTGCACTACCTCAACGGATATATTAAACTGTTACAAGATTCCGTTACAATAATGCGATCTCTAATAATGTTTAGACTGTGGTAGGACCACGCAGCACTCATCGCTGTTGCACGAATGGGCAAATCAGTCTGGGGAAGGAGAACGGACATTCGCAACCCTACGGGTGGTGCGAACGGGCGGCGTTTACCGCTTAACGTCAGGTGAACCGCCAATCGTTTGCCATTTTCTTACACAAAAAGAAAACGTACACGTTATGGAGTGATAGGTTTGGAGAAGCGGAACAAGCAGCCCCGCTTGGCTTAACGGTCCAGGTATGTTAGTTATCATGAAAAGTAGCCGTAATAAGGCGAGAGAGGAGATTGGCCCGCGTAAGACCGGACGCCAGGGATCGTGCAGCGCAACGGTTGCACTATACGTCGATGATTTTACATACAAATACGAAGTAGATATGACACTACCACACCGAAATTATGGCAAATTACCCCAGTTTGTTTTATTTGATTGCAATTCTACAACTTACTATCTCTTTCCGTATCACACGTTCTATATCATCTGTCAATTTATTCAATTATTATATACTAGCGACCCGTCCCGGCTTTGCGCGGGTCAATGTATTATACATATGTTAGCTTTAATTTGTTTTATCGAGCTAAGAAGGTAGAAATATAAATACTTTTACCAAATCACCGTAGTTTTACTTTGCACAACAATAACACTGGTATAATTACTTATTTTATCACTTTAATATCAATAATGAAACACCACTCTAGATACCGGATTGGGCAGCACTATCACGTATACATCTTGATGACAGCCAGAGAAAGACGAAGATCACGATCAAGGCCACGAAATGCTTCTTGAAGCTTCATTAATACCCCACAGAATGACACTTCTTTTAGTATTGCCAACAACCTCAAGGAATGACTTTCTTTAGTGTTGCCAACACATATTATAAACCTTCCTCATGAAAAACTCTATCTAGTAAAAAAAACGCATCAAGATCCGTTGCGTAATTTTATCTGTCTCTATGTTTAGCAAACATAGGGACAGACAGACGGCGGGACGATTTTGTTTCATACTATGTAGTGATTTCATATAATGTAAAGCGGCCCAAATTTTAAACGCTCTGGACTTATCACACAGGTTCCGCGAAGTACCCTACATCAGCCAATTCTCTATTTCCATGCGAACAAATTTCTGTGCGTATAAGACCGCAGCCTCCACGGATGCAAGGTTCCTCGACGAGAGCTTTGAAAGGAACGTAAATCGTTCAACCCCTTTGTCTACCACGTCGTATGTTGTACCGGTACATTCGCGCAGGTGACGCCTCTGTCTGTACAGGTTACGATAGACGATCGAAACCGGGCGAACACGACAAGCGTCAATGGAAGCGACACATCGGCTGCCGTAACAAGATCGTGTCCGCGCCGCCGCCCCCGAATAAACTTCGCCAAGCCATCGAGTCAATATAGCCCCCATAAAACACCTGAACGCGTCGCTAACAATTTAATTTAGTACAAGCAGCCAACACACCCGATATTGTAAATTCCGCCCCGAGTTAATACAAATTTTCACGGGAGCATCGTCAGGGCTGAACGGGAACGTAATGGGGAGGCGCCGACGCTCCTCTGTTAGCCAGATGCATTAATTGTCGTTAAATAAAACTTTAATGCCGAATTTATCGCGTTTAAATTACAGCTTGCAGAATCCTTCATCTCGGGACCGCGATGAAATAGTTTAATTTAAGAGTGTGCAGTGTTCCCGTAGATAAAAGAGATCATTACATAAATATCTTTTTTAATATATATTACCCGCTCGAGTACACTGTGCAACAGTCGCATATTGAGTACCATGCGGAAGACTATCCTTACTAATATTATAAAAGCGAAAGTTTGTATGATTTTTATATATGTTTCTTACTCTTTCACGCAAATACTACTGAATGGATTTAAATGAAACTTTACAACCATAAAGCTTATACATCAGAATAAGACATAAGGCTCTAATTTATATACATATTTTATGTATGTCTGTCTTTCTGTCTGAATTTTACGCCTTCAGCCTGTTCTACACAGGCGTAGTCGCGGGCAGCAACTAGTACTATATACTACGGAAAATTGTATGATTACCCCCCCTGTTCGTATGTAAAAATGTTACGTATGGCACAACATCGTTTCCGTTTCTGAAAAAAAAAAAAAAACTGTACTAAAAACATGTCAATGAAAAGGCGATTTCATAGAAACACATAAAATACACCCGACGGAACCCACTGAGTGGGACTCAACGTAAAAAAATATTATAGTTAATATATTAACATCAGCTCTTAAATGTCTTTTCTTAGCAACAATATTGGTTCCGCTATTGTTTAGAAAAAGTTTCAATATATGTGACGGTTAACACGTAAACGCGAAACTGGCAGCCCTGGCAGAGAGCGCTTAAAATGCAAAGAAAAAAAAAATAACACCGGCCGAAGACGCGAAAAAAAAATCGCCACGCTCGACTAATAAACGCGGTGCTCGCTAATTCATCATTGTTCCTCACTAATAAAAACACGACAAAAACACATCTTTCCCGAGATGGGCGCGCGGCGGGGGAGGCGCGTCCCCTACGGGGTGTCGATACGGCGAGCCTCGGTACGTTTTAGAAACGGGAACGTACCAGTTTGGGAATAATTTAGATCGCCGAAGAGAATATGACGAAAGTGGGTGCTTAATGTGTTAAAATGGACGTCGGTTGGAAAGCGTGACGACCGCTGAGTTCGTAGAGAGCTAAGCTTTGTAACGCTCTAGGATGCGTTTTGAGAGATAGCAAAGTTAGTAGTTTTTGATCGATAGTCTTCAGCTATGATTGAGTATCCACATATAGGTACACATGAAACATGACAAGGTCGTATAATATATTTTTATATATTTTTTTCGTTTTTTAAAACTGCGATAGAGTTAACACGAAGAAAAGTTTTTAATTTTTAGGATAAGATAAAGGTCAACAAACTGCTGATAGATTCCATGCTGTTTGCATATTTTATCTTAGCGTTAACAAGATTGTATAACTTAATAAGGGTAACGTTTATGATATCAACGCCTAAACCAACCGTACACCAAAAAATCCCGAAAAACAAGAGAAAAATATTCTCCGAGCGCAGTCGGGGAACAAGGCGTAGTTCGCCATAATGTCTTCCGCTGCCATTCTATAGATTGAGAATATTTTAAACTGATGCGCTCGCTAGAGGGCGCTGCGAATAATGAAATTATAGCGGGCGCGGGCGGAGTGGGGGGCATACCGGCCCCCCACCTTTTTTCTCTCCGTTTTGTTTGTGCAATCGTTATTTATCGGGAGATCGGGAATCCCGCGTAGATTAACATCAAAGGTGCTCGGGGGTCCGTATACGGCGTCGTTAAAATTAAATAGGCTTAGTAATGAGATGGCTTTATTGGCTTCATTCGGGCGGGAGCGTGCGAGTGGAGTGCAAGTGTCGTGTTCGGAGCGAGCGCGGGCGTTTTTATTTAGAATCGATTTACACTGATTGGATTTACGTTATATAAATCGATTCTTAATTTTAAAAAAAGGAACCATGGGGCCAGACGACGAGTGAAAACTTAAAATTGGAACAACTGTTTTTTTTATATATATTTATGATATTATATGGTACGGATCATTAAAATCACAAAGTAATGGGCCCTGGCTGCCTTACTCAGCAGGCAAAACGCAGAAGTGTAGTATAATAACACTTCCACTTCTCACCGGTCTACAGTGAGGTCATGGTACTTCCGGACGGACCTGCCCATTCGCCCATTCGTACAACAGCCGAGGCTTTTGTGTGACTCTACCACATTGAAATATCGAACTTTTTTATTTACGATTAAAATGTTGCTAGAAATATTAATATGCTGTTCTACTATCCTTTTCTACGGTGCAGTATAATAACGCTTATGAAATTCGCTTATCCTGTAAGGGAACGGTTGGGACTTGTTCTCAAAAGCTTAGTTTCCACGATGACCTACCTTATCTATCTTTCCGCTACTTTTCAATTATAGGCTTTGAAAGAATATGCTTCCCTTTCTTTTATAACGCCTTATACCAACTAATGATTTAATACCGCAAAAAGTGAAAGCGTTTTTGTTAATATTGTACGTTTCCCATGATTATAGAGCTGCATAATCACACTGCAATAGAATAGCAGCGGATTTCGATTCCCACAGCGGCGACAATCTTTTCGTACTTTTTCTACAAGTTGTAATACACGTATAAATCTATCAATTTAAATCAGTACCAATGTACCATGTAAGCACAAAGGCGGTGTAAACTCAACATACAACGATATCTTCCGAGTGTATTTCGGACATGTTTAAGCCAGGCAAGTCTGTTCTTGATCGCGACACGACGCCGAAGGAGGTGGGCGGAAAAAAAAAACTGGCGCGGAGACGAGGCGACATTGCGGGATTAATAAAGCGTCAACTAAAGCGTAAAACAGGCGGAAAAACAGCGGCCGGGGAGCGGACCCGCCGGGGGGATCACCTCATTAAGCCGAAACGGCAACGAATTGATCAATCGAGGGATTTTACTACCGGGAATCACTCAACGGACAAAGTGATTCGCGGCGGGCGCGGCGCGGCTCATCGACGCCGTTTTAATTTCGCCCCGCCGCGGGGAGATCGAGTGTCGTCCAATCTGTTTGACGGCGCGGGGTGACAGAGAGGAGAGAAAAAAATCCGCCCACCCACGACCGCCCTGGAGAGTGCGACTCGAAGACGATAATGCTCGCCGCGGGACCGTTTCGGATGCACGGACGCCGCCGATCGGGGCCCTTCGGCCTGAAGCCTCAAGTGAATTATGCAAAGTGCCCCCCACTTTTTGGAATGCTTAAATATCTATTACGGAAGGCTTTGGGTCCGAACTATGACCTGGCCGCTATTTAATGTGACGATCGGTAATGATGTTGCCGTGGATTATAAAGATAGCTGCAGTGACAGTAAATGTATTCAATTTTTTTTGAGTTTCGATTGTCACCTGACTTTAAAAACATCAGTGTATCAATAGTTTAATTGGATTTTTGTTATCTTTTTGATTCACTACCGTTCGGTTTCTGAAAGACTGATCAACGTAGAAGTTAACCAATCATTTGTCAAAGGGCTTGTTCAATATCAATTTGTTTACTAAAAGGATGGTTAAACTGTTCAAATATTAGTTAATTTCTACGTTAATCAGTCTTTAAGAAACCGGGCGTAAGGCCGTTTTACTACACAGCAAATATCCACGGCGTTGCAGATTAATTTTCGATTTTTAAAAGATTGAGTCCCGGCTAACTCAGAGAAGAAACAATAATACTTTCAAATTTTTTTATCATCATCATCAACATCATTTCAGCCTGTTTGAGTCCACTGCTGAACATAGGCCTCTCCCATAGACTGCCACGAAGTACGATCCTGAGCCAGTGTGGTGTCGGCGTAAGAATAAGCCACCCCATCTCATCCCGTGGGTGTCGTAAGAGGCGACTAAGGGATAAGCCACAAACATCCGGTGGCCTCCGATAGATGGCGGGATAACCATCCTAACTCTCCAGACCCAAATATCCAGGCCAATAACGGGCAGCAGCGTTGAAGGTGCGAGGTGTCTGGAAGAACTGCGGTTGCCAACCCGCTCGCCAAGCGTGGCAACTATGGCAAAAAACCCCTCATGAATTTTTTTATACAAAACATTAATACTATCAGGCTAGTTCTCTGAGAGGCCTTAATACTTCTCCTGTTACGGTAGTGCAAAGACAGAAGCTGGCGTGTGACTACTACTTATAACGTGACGCGTATTTTTCATAGATACAAAGCGGCCAATTCTCTACTGCACGGTTGATATTGTTCATTTCTTAAGAGATAATTTTGCATAATCCTGAAGAGAAAACTCCAAGGAGGCGGGCATTAAAAACGGCAATCAAACCGGCAATTTGAAAGGGAGAGCCAAATTTAAATCTGAAAGAAACGGCCTTCCGATTTGTAATTCAAACGTGCGAGAAAATGGCGCGATATCCGATTTGAATAAAGAATCGAGTTGGGCCAGGGAGTGGACGGACTTGCGCCACGGTGCTGGAATTGAAATGGTCGAGAAGAATATTCAGAATTTTAATTTTCCTATAAATTAAATCAAAAGTGTTTTTGACGTTTAAATTACCAAAGATACAAAATATAATAGATACGTTATATAAAGTAATGAACACAGTGCAGTGAATGTCAAACAATAAGTTATAGGACTCAATTGATAATTCAATTTCATTTTAAAGCTTATACGAAGCAACGAATACGTTTTTAAATAATCCACGAAACACTTACAGTAATATCGATTGCAGAAATATCGCAGACATTTCAATCTGCTACCCCACTGTAAAGGCTCGATACAGCGCCAAATAATCAGCCCTAAAGCCTTCATTAATGAAAACCATAAACCCGGGGGCGCGTATCCGGCTCGAAGGACCAAGTAAAAAACGCGTCAAACGACCGACGCCTTGTTACGCCAACGGCAGGTGGGGCGTTGGAAAAATTGTAGTGCTAAAGGAATTACGCCGACGGAGGCAGGGAGGTTAATTGGTTTAGCCATTGGCATATTGATGAAGTGGCGATACTTCGTTGGGTTTTTAGATTGATTTCAAATTAGATTTACTGTAAATTTTTGAAAATATTTCGGTAATTTTGTACATAACATTGTAAAATTTAATTTAAAGAAGATATAACTTGTAAATGCATTATAACAATTATTAACATTATCAGACCATATGTACAATGTACGTATAAAACAAAGCAAATACTAGTCTAAACTTATTGAGAAACGGAAATTAGCCAACTATTGTGTGGCAGATTAAATTATTACAAGCGTGTACGTAACATACGAACATCATAAGACTAGTCCTCAGTAATACCCTTTTCCGCGCCAATAGACGCCTGTCCGTGACGAATTAGGCTCTCTGGCGCTGGGCGAGGCGGCGGTGTGCTGTTGGGCATAACCCTCGCGTCCGTGCAATTGGGAAGGATCGCTCCAACACAATCGCAGCAAGCGGAGCGTAACGGCGGAGTCAATTAGAGCGCTTTGATGTTGATAGTTTCGGATGCTGTGAGGTGGGTCGATCTGGCGGCGGCGGCTCGCTGACGTTTGCCGACACAGCCATCGGGTCAAGTTGTCTGATGGCTTTATTAGTTGTTTAGCGGGATGGCTAATCTATGATTTGAGTACAGTGAGAAGTGGATAAATACATACTCCCTTTATGCTTTTTTGAAGGATTTATTAGATATACTATAAAATATTACAAGAATATTTCAGACTTTTTTTGAATATCATATATGTCATCTATATCACTTGACGTTAAGTAGCGAAGTATCCGTTACAGCAATCTTGTCTTTGAAGACGTTGTATTCGGAAGAACTGATAAATTAATGATTGACTTCAGATTGTTTAACAAATACATTTTTATAATCTTTTTTTTTCCTTATCTTTTGGCTCTTTTAGCATACGTTTCTTGCCCTCGCTAATGTACGAATTTTCGGAAACGCTGTTGAAAAATGTCAACCATTGTTCCTAATGTCTACATAAAAAGCGAAATTCGCAAGTCGGGTGACTTTCGCTGGCGGGGCCTCTTGGCCCCGTTATTTTTTTTCCCACTAACTACATCATCAACCTGCGGAGTCGAACTCCCGCCCGTTGCACCTTAATGAGGCCTCGGAGAGCCCCCTCCCCCGCCCCTGCCGCGCTGTCTCCCGATTTTATAACTGCCGATAACACGGCAACATTGAATAATTGTCGTAATTTAGAATGCTTGTTACGCAAAAACACGATACCGGGGTCTTTTATTACGTAAGGCGATGGGGAGATGCGTTGGGCCGCCGTGCCGTGCAATCATGAATATTGTAACGTTCTTAATGAGTCTCGCGACCGATGCGCGGGTTTGGCGTGTGCGTGTGCGTGTATTTAAGGTTTTCTTTTTTCTTTTAATATTCTTTTCAAACGACGATAGGTCGGACACGACGCCGGTTGTTCTCCAACAAAGCGGTGCGGAACGGAATAATGGCGACGTTCGTTTGGGACCGCTCCGCGTTTATTGTCTTGCACTCGCTATTAAGGAAATGCACACGAGTTAGGCGTATTTATAAGTTCGCGAAGGGTTCAAGAGCGCCCGGCGATGTCTTTATTCGAGGCGGAGGATGTATTCTTAGCGGGGCATTGTGCTAAATAATGGCCAGGTGGGATGGACGAGCGCTCGGATCAGATGACGCGGGGATTTCATTTATAAGTTAACTACTTTTTACTGAGATAGTGAGTGCACCGGATTCCTATCAGGTGGAATGTTATTGTTACATATTTACTTTTAAAATGAAAATGCTATCGAGATATTTATTATAATCAACGGTTTGTCTTTCCACAACTGCTTTGAACTTCCTTTAAAATTTTACTCGACTGTCCAAGGCAGTGAGTTTAGAAGCATTCCAAAGCGAAAGATCAATTTCTTTTAAGATATGTAGATTGTTTTAAAGGCCTTCTCCTAATTCTCAACCTATTCGTAAATTAGGCCTAGTCAAATTAATAAACAAAATTTAAAAATGTAGACAATTGTATCATACTATTCTTATAGCCTTTCTTCTATTCTGGACTGTTTTTGGAACGAGAAAAAGCATCGTAAAACTAGGTAGTGCTATATGTTTTGCGATGCCGTATAACATAGTATTAAATGTATTATAGTTTTAAATGTTGTCAGCACCGAAATACTGCTGTTACTAAACATTATTGTAAATACTGCGTTTAATAAATCTGAAGAAATGGCGGTTCATCAGATGCTCACTGATGATAAGGATAAATGTTGTCATGAAAAGCCTGTTGGAATGATGGAATGTCTTCAATAAACTAAGCAATTTTGATTCTGATGTTGAATTATACATTATTCTGCAACAATAAAAGCAATTGCTTTTAATATTTGATGGCAATAAGGCGACGGAACGTATGAACGCGATACGTAATAGCACCGCCGCTTCCTACACATCAAAATGAGACATATCTTGTTGCCTTCTAATGGGAGCGCGTCACGTCTCAAATGTAATGCGAATTTTAATATTCGCTATGATTTTTGTTCAGGCCATCCACCGTTTATAGCTTGCGAAGGCGACACGCGTTTGTGCTCGCTACTGCCTTCTAATAGGGGCTCTAATGGTGTGTGCCGCACACGCGTAGGTAATAACTGGCTGGATTTTTGTACTTGTTCGAGACTAATAAGCCACTTGTACGTTTTAATAATGTGAAATGTTCTCAGCGGTATCATTAAAATATCGGCGGTTGTGGTTGGTTGTTTTTTTCAGTTTCGAGTAAGGCAATTAGGGTTGCGCTTAGCGGGTGATTTTCGCGCACGTCGCGGGGATTTTGCGCGTCTGGATTTGAACATCCACCAGTATTCGCCCATCAGTGGGAAAAGTGGTTCGCCATTCAAAAGGAAGAAGAATATATTAATTTTATTATATAATTAGGATATGTGTGTATAATTAGGATGGTAGGTTTCTGTAACTAATAGTCTATGTGAAAATAATCTTTGTCACGATCCGGTCTGTTTAAAATATGGATATAGCTCATGCATTCATTATGATATTTTGCTTCGTTGCTGCGTCGAAGAAAGATATACCTACGAATGTTAATTTATTATATTAGAGTATCATAAATTATATAATTATTATATTATATTTTAGTATTAAACATGACTCGCGGTAAAATCATCGTAACGAGCTGCCATAACTATGTGATATTAAGACTGGTTAACACAGTAGAAGAAAGGTAAACTATAAGTTTACCTTTCTTAGATGATTGTAATCTGAAGGGGAAGAAAAGTTCTCGCCTCATACTGTCCATCGCAGAGTAGGACGGCCCTCAATAGAGTGAGAACCTGTGAAAATGTGATTATATAAAGCTAACACAGATCTAGAAAATAGTACGCATTTAGATACCTGGAAACCTTCGCGTTCGCTATAGATACATAATAAAATTCAAATTATTTTTTGGCAGGACTATTTAACCGCGACAATGGATCTCAGGTAACCATGAAAAACCAATGCGTTGTGGCAAAGGAGAGATGAAATACACGTTACAGATTGCTTTACAATACAGTTAAAAGTTTGCCACATCTGCGTCACACTGTTCTTTTAGATTGGGATCATTTTATTACTAACTTAAGTTTAACTTTTAAGGCGATTCTCGCGACACTCGCGCAAACACCGATGGGATAATTAATGCGCCTCCGTAAAAAAATATTCAATCAAAACAGGGGCTAAGGCGCGAGGGACACTCAAAGCGAAGATTTAATTTTTTTCCCATCACAGCGTGAAGTGTCTGCCTCAACACATGCCAGCGAAGCGCTGAGAGGATTACCTGGTCTCTTGCTTAGACGGCATTTTGAAAAAAGAAAAAAAAAACAGGAAGGGTTCGCGGAGCGCGGCAAGAATTCCTCTATACCACCTTCCCGTCTGCCCACTTCACGATTAGTGGCTGCAAGTTGTCTGTTTTTATGCCTTTGCGTTTTATTGCGCCAAGTGAAATTGCGTGCAGCGAGTAAGGAAGGTGTTGTCAACGCATCTGAGGGCACTCAGTATTAATCTTGTATTTCATTAAAATCGCCATCTTTAAGACATGGGCGTGTGACAATTACAGTAATTAATTACAAGTTAAAACATTATTACTTATTATTAATTTAATAAAGGATAAAAGTACCTCATCATCATCTATTAAACTAGCGACTCGCCCCGGCTTAGCACGGGTGCAATGTATTATACATATAAACCTTCCTCTCAAAAAAACCGCATCAAGATCCGTAGTTTTAAAGATCTAAGCATACATAGGGACAGACAGACAGCGGGACGACTTTGTTTCATACTATGTAGTGATGCTGTACACTTTACAAACGCAAAATGTGAACACGCTGTAGATTTTTCCCGGGCTCGCGAGGTACCGTGTCAGAGGCACGCTTGATCTTTGCGGGATCACGGACGGACGCAATTGAAATGCTCGTAGATAAAATAACGCCCCGGGATCAAACCCGGAGCACGCGGTGGCGTTGTTTAATTTATTTTTCAGCGATACCCCCACGAGCCGTTAAGGCCTCCCCCCCTGTTTGCGAATATAAGAATTCATTTGTTCAACCTGGCGGACGGCTGCCGTGAAATTGACGTAGAGATGTTTCTTGCACGTTATACTCTGCTCCAATAATGAAGGATAGACTTGATGAGAACGTGACACGAAAACTGACACGTTAAACAACACAGGGCACGAGTGATTAGACTTCTACTGAGGTAATTATTTAGCACTTCAAGACACTATCTTATGTTCAAAGTCGGAAAACGGCCGTCTATGGTCATCTAGAGCAACTGACGGGTATCAGATGAGTTTCCGACATTAACCAACCGTGCAACGATTACGTGCAAGTTACTACGTGGCACTACCACTACAGTAGTCACTGCTTATCGTCAGGTGCACTCAGTACAAAACCTTCCTTGACAAACCTTAGTTGATCTCTTATGTTTGGTAACTTGCTTCTCATATTAGCTTTAAGGACAAAGAGCTAAAACCTTCAAGTAAATAATTAAACATAAACAACACATGTCATTTTAAAAAAGGCAAAACGTTCCAAATTCAAATTTCCTCGAGACGGAGACGTTGGAGGCAAATTGCACAGCCGCCCTCGGCCGCTGGGAGAATTGAGTAATCATAGATAAACAGTGTGCAACCGAAGTGTAAACAAATTACGCGAAACAATAACGGAGGACGCTACGCCACGTACGCGCCCTGTGCTTCCCTCGCTTTGTTTACGCCGAGATGATTATCGATTGAGTTGCTCAGCTTACAAGTCGAGGTGCCTGATAATGCGGTGTGGGGCACAGGTAGAGGGGGATTCACTCGGAGCTGTTGCGAACGTGTCAACGTTGGTTTTTGTATGCCAGTTGCATTATCTTTGTTGCTCCAAAGCTATATGAGTGCCCGAGTGATTGTCATCTCATAAAGGTCACACTGATACCACGATGATTCGTTTTGTCGTGACGAAGTTGAGATAGAATGCGTATGTGAATGATGTTCGCGTTTTGAGGAGGTTCTCACTGCTCCCAGCTTACGAATAATACAGTGGACGGCCGCCCATTTTACGGTCCGTATAACAGGCCTTAATGCCAGGTTAATGTACCCACCCATGTGCAGATTTGTCATTAGGAGGTACTTTTTGTTAATCTATGCATGTTCAGTTATGTATATTTTTATTATTACGTATAAGTTTTATTTATTCTGATCCAGTTATGAACGCTGTTTCGACATATTCCGATCTAATTTATGCGGTAGACGTATTTGTTTTCAATGACCTCGTCTCTAAAAACTATTTTATTCGCCCCCCAAGTCGATGTCCGATTAGTGTTTGGCAATGTTCCGAAACATCGAAAGAATAACTAGGACGCGTCGAATCGACGGCTTGCTCGCTAGCTTGAATAAATCATATCGGGATCGTAAAGCTATAGGGGTGGTAGTATCAGCTCCGCGCGGGACGCATCCGGGCGCCCCCGACGCGTTTTTCGCGGGGCATTATCAATTATTAAACATCGGCGCGTAGATAGCACCCCGGAGTCCGCGGGCATCCGCCGCCCGGGTGTATATTGCGCACTTGTATTAAATATTCGTGGATCAAGGCCCTTTTAGGGCATGGCGGGACGGATACGGGGAGAAAATGGCGACATGCTGTCGATTCAAATGTGCGATCTGAACAAGAACACAAGAGATCATTAGTCAACATAATGATAACATTAAGATGATATGTAGTACACAAAAGTCACACATACAGTCAAACAGTTTTTGTGGTGAAATCAAATTATGCGAAAAACTAACGGTAGCGAACCTTGTATTATGGTACTTGGATAAACCTGGCATGTACAACCTCCTCATCTTCGGCTTAAGCAGTCGTTTCTTTAAAGTTTCTCAAGTAAAAATTTGTGAAGTAAAGAGAGCAACAAAACATTAGTGTTTAGATAGGATAGAAAGTTAAGAGATAATTTAAATATACACTTGGCTCTTCTTGTTTTCATTCGTATATATGCTAACACTACGTCACGCAATTTTATTACGCATTGCTGCTTTGTGGAACCAGTTGCGCTGTTGCCAAGGTATTGGCTGCGGTGTCGGGGGTCGTGGGTTCGATTCCCGCACGGGACAAGTCTGTGTGACCCACAGATAGTTGTTTCGCATCTGGGTGTTTGTCCACGTGAAATTTATGTTTACCGATATGATTTTGGGACCTTGAAGAAGAGAGCCAACAAAGGCAACGGTTGTGAACTCTCTGGTGTTGCAAGTGTCCATGATCGCTTGCCATCAGTTGACCAACTCGCTTGTTTGCCCCCTTTTTCCAAAAAAAAAACGCCGATGAAAATAAGAAAGTCCGTTTTGGCGAATACGTGTCGTTCCCGTCACGTCGGGCGTAAATAAGACGTATTAAGCGTAGGCGGCTTCGGCAGCCGTGAAATGGTTTTCGGTTTTGTGCAAGTTATTAGCGGGATTTGCATGTTTGTGATTTATTGTTTTTTTCAGAGTAGGGGGCGATGGCATCTCCAAGCATAAGCCATTTTCAACGACGAGATGGAGACGTTATTACAAAGGTAATATAAATTTTCCTCTGAATATAATTTATGTTTGTGCTTACTTTTATGATCCGTTATGTGAGCCTATGATAGATTATAGATTCATTGTAGAAGTTATAACCCAAAAAATGTACTTTATCGCCAGATGAAGGTATCTTGTTCCAATTAAATAATTGTCAATTCATATAATATTTTTAGCAACGCAGATTTCATCTAACTGTGGTGGTGGCTAATAAATAAAAGCAGCCAACGGGTTCCAACATTCGCATCATCAGAAGTGTTGAGTAATTGAGTCCAATCGAGAGCCAGCATAATCTCACGCACTCATATCTTTCCTTTATCTACTCGTATATTGGCCCGATAATGCTCTCGTTTCTCAAATTACGAATCCACTTCAGTCAGAAGGCCACCTCGAATTATAATCGAGGAGGCCATAACAAGTACTACAAGCTATAGTAGAATGAAGATGATGGATATTCGAAATGGCCTAGGCGTATGCTATTATCAAATCCTATTAAATATTGCCTGAGGTTTAAGGGAGCTATTGAAAATTATTGTAATTATTGATGTTTATGTTTATATATATCCTTAATATGTATTTATTCACAGAATAATCCATAGTACAAGCTTTGCTTAGTTTGGGACTAAGTAAAGTTATGTAAAAATATGTCTGTAGTAGGTTCTACTACAACTATATGAATAACTATCCTTCTATGCAACTCAGCAATTGCACGAGGAGTTACGAAAAATTTACGGAGCCGATTGTTGGGAAGTTCGCTCATGCCCGGTTCCTATATTCAACGAAAGGCCGTTTGTTACATAGCTTCGTAACTTTCATAGCGACTTGTCGATAAAAGGCGTGTTCCTTTATTAACAAAACGAGGCGTTTTCCTTACGAGCCGTTGAGCCGAGCCGAGCCTACGGAAAGTGAGTTACTGGCGTTCCATTAATCTACAAGTCGTTATGGAAGTTACGAAGCTACGCAACTAATGGGCGTTCGTTGAATATAGGAACCGGGCATTACAACGTGCCCGTTATATATTCTTCCTGCGGCAGACGGGCATCGCAGTCAGAGCTAACTCGATAAGTGCAAGCGGCGGGAGTTGCATCCGTAACAAAGGGAAGTAGCGAAGGTCGGGCGGCCGATAGCTGGTGGCCAAAGGTCGGGAGGCGCCCGGGGCGAATTCAATTATGCCGTTCCTGAATAAGCTGGAGAATTGATGCGCCGACTCTTCGAGGCTGGGGCGATACGTAATCCGCCGATTCGAAGAACGATGGTACGTATCCGCACTCGAGTTGTCAGACATTGGCTAACACGCTTGATGTGTTTAGAAACAATGTATATAACATGTATGTGACAATCGAGGTCTTGCGCTATTTCTACAGTGACTTTTAGTTTAAGGAACTACAGGAAATGTTTAACACAATAGCGGCGTAATTATGATTACAGCATGTATAAAGAATTTAGCAATTCCTTCCAATAGTGAAATTTCAAAATTCTGTACGTTAGAGTCGGTTAATAGAAATCATATCTTTTTTTCATTTTCATTATGATAATTATAACACTTTAGATTATTTCTTCATTTTGCGAAACTTATGAACCGCTTTATCTCCTTGTATAAATAGTCAAATAATAATTGTAGTTTTCTTAATGTATAAACTATCAATATACCTACGACATGACGTGTTGAAACGTTAAATCAATATAATATTAAGTAATATATAGTTAGATGTTAAAAGGAAACGTGCCTAATTGTGGTTTTGCATTTAAATATAAGAACACCTCTCAAATAGATTTTATGACTAATTCAAATACTGCTCCAGACAGTTGTATTCCGCAAGGTTTTGCACGAACAAGTCTCACGTCCAACAAGCGGTGCTTTGGAACATCTGTTGGGCCGTTATCGAATTAATCCATCTGGAAACAGATCGAAACGTCAGCTCGGAGTTGCCGGTGGAAATAATTTCCACCGCGACGCGACCAGTGTTGGCTGATCCGCGCGGCCCGTTCGGCTGTTTGGTTACTCGTGCGTTTCGGGTTACGCCGGAGGGGGCGGAGCTCAAGGTGAATTGGTCGATGGCGTTCGGACCAGCTCGTATGATGGATCGCCCGTCTACCCGATGGGTTGTTGGCGTCTCCATCGCTCAATCGACGATTGCCCTTTGATGGAACGGAAGTGCTCCGGCTGCATGCAGGTTCATTATTCTTCGGTTGTCACGCGACTTATTGGGCGCCCTATCTGTGTGCGGGGAAGAAACGGCTTCCTCATTACCGCCTCCGTTTTCTATTATTGTTGACCGATTGTCACCCGCACCCAGTCTGACAGTGGGCACTCAAAAATTGGTTCTGACAAAGAACAAGCAAAACTTCTTCCTGTGTGTATACGAAATGTGTTTATCACGCTACGTTTCCTAGGCGTATGTGTGTGGACGAGTTTACATGTATATTTAATTTTATTCGGTACACAAAACAGCAAACAGTAATATACTCATTAAATGAGGTAAACGATTACATACTGTCAGCGTCAAAAATATGCGTAGAGAAAATGCTAAGGACTCGCTTTACAGAAAACAATAACTTTCGACGGAAATTCAATAACGTCGTCATTGCCACAGAGTTTACATATCACAGGATCAAATATAGGATATGTACTATACAGTAGTCTGAACGTAATTTGGTCAGACAGGACAGCGGCAATTATATTGGTAATTTTTTATGTTCCAATTAATTGATCTCGATCATAGTACAATTTGCTCCATGCGGACTTTATTAACAGATCATTATGTTTGACTTTCTATAAAAAAAGATTAAATCTTATTTCGAATACTGCTCCAAAGTTATTTTTATGGTATCAAAAATAAATCGACGATTGGAACGATAAATAATTAAGCGCATGTCATCACTACCTTTAAATGAATATGTAATTTGATATGTTAACAACTGTTTGATCGGTCCCCGTGTACGATAAAGCCAATGTTTGTCATCAGGACAAAACGTTTAATCTTCGGGAGGCGATCAACCGCACCGCACGCGTATACCAGTGCCGTCTCCACTTAATTAGCCCCTCGGACCTCGTAAATTTCGGACCGCAGACATCAAAGGGCATCTTAATACGCTCAGAGCGATTTCTGTTGCGCGGCGCGCACCCGACCCCAGCAAACTGCGCCTTCCCAAGGTGAAAATTTTCACCGACGATACCATAGTCTATTAAAGCGGCAGCGCCAATAAGACTACATCCTTTGTTTATAATAAACACTTTCCACCGGCGTCGCGTCCCTTTCGCGCGCCCGCCCCCCTGCGTATCGCCGTCCCTGTCGCGCGTTCGTTTCGTAGCAGCACTCTAGTGCACATCTAGGGTACAGCAATAGCAAGAACCCTCAGGAACGTTAACGACATACCCCGAGTTCGCCCGGGGCAGATTCAATTACTACTGTCGTATTATTCCGACGAAAATATGCATGTATTTGTGTACGTACGCTGTGGTGTGAATTAAATTCTGTTTCGAGTTTATTGGTCACGGTCGGCGATAAGTTTGGATAAGGGTATAGGGTCGCAGTTCGGCCGGGCTCTATATTGAATCGTTTGTTGTTACTTTATATGCTTTGTTCGGTCGCTCGGAACATTCGAAGTGATATTGCTCTACGACTTTCACGCGTACTATTGGTGCTGGATGTGAAATTGTTTTGGTTACTCAATACTAAATGTCAATCATTATCGAAACCGTTGCAAGTATTGCAGAGTCTTGGAATTTTAAAATTACTTAAAATATATAGGAAATATGTAAGTGCAAGTGTGTGGGAAGTCGATGGATGCAAATGGCTCAGGATCGTGTTTCGTGGCAGTCTGTGGGAAGCCTATGCTCAGCAGTGGACTCAAACAAGCTTAAATGATGATGATGATGATATACGATGAAGGTATACGAACACATACAGTTTACCACCTGCAACTTCCGTAATTAAATGTGCTCAAATTTTCAATACAATTGGGCGACATCGACTTCAAGGTTTAAGGGTATAATATTCCGAGAATCATTTTAATTAAGGATGGCAACACAAGTTGCCATAGCCCCAAGACTACGTGTTACGACCCGTCGCCGCCCACGGAGAAGTAACGGGCTCGATCAACCGCTAAAACCCTGCGGGATACAATTATGGCACCGATATTGCTCTTAACAACTCGATAAGGTGCTATCGGCAGACCTCAGAACAATTTATAGGGAGTTGATAGTTACCCTCCGATGCGTCCCGACTTAATAGACATGTTAGTGTTGAGATGGATTTTGGTTAAGGTTTCGAGTTTCAATATTTGCGTGTACTATCACAAGCATAAACAAACAATGCAATTAATTAATAAAACAAAATGTTTAAAATAACTCTACTTGAAAGAGCCTGGAGCGATCAACATAGTGTTATCATTTAAATAATCACTAATATAATAATAACCTGTAACAAGAAATGTTTCTTTACTATTTTTTTTATTTTAATAACTGTTGAGTAATTGAAAAAAAGCTTTACAAACTTTAAGATCCCATAAAGCATGTGAAGTTAATTATAACGCAATAAATTACCTCGAACATTGCAATTGTAAATACTAAGTTATAATTATTTGTTTTAGAATAATGAAGGAGTTAAATATTCACCATTGATACCGTTCATGGCGGGAATATTGGATGACCTTAATATTCGCGTCGCTTTAACACGACTAAAACGAAAAAGAAACAGTATCGTTGCTACAGAGGTTTGAAACAGTTCTAGTGTCCGACGAGGTCTGCACTGTGGACCCTTGGACAAGTGTTGTCTACTGGTGAAAAAAATACTCGTAAAGCAATTTCAAAACCCTCACCATCACTTAAAATTCTCTAAATTCAAACCAAAACTTCCTAATTGGGAAAAGTTTAGGTGGTTTTGGTTTGAAATAACCTTATAAAAATCTTCCATTTTAAATGAGATATTCCATTCAATAATAAGATATTAATAAAATATTCAGGAGGAAAACTCCCAAGTTGGCATCCGTGCCTTGGACCGACAACACCAACAGTTGGGACTGTCGGTAGCAGCGAGATACAGAAGAAACTGTTCTTCTCTCTTGGTTCGCCGTTAGGACTTGAAATCCGTCGAACGCTCCACGCGTCTTCCGGCTAGGAGACGCGGTGCGCACGGAGAATAAAACACGCTGTATATATGTGTATTAATTTTTCAGAGCACCCCGTACGCGAGCTCTTGAAACGTCGCCGCGGGCGTGCAGACAGGCGCGGGTGTGGGAGACGCGCGAGTCTGGAGGTCGGGCCACGAAGCGGGCGTCTATCAGCCAATATATAATTTATATTGACGGCTTACAATATACAATATAATTTGTATCATTATGTGCGTTATGAAATAATGAGAGTGAAAGTGAAATTTTAAATGAGAATGAGAGTGACATTTTTGAAAAGCGCGCACATCACTGTAACAGAAAAGTCACACCTTTGAAGCTGCCCGTTTTTTTTAAAGATGGCAGCATATTTTCAATCCCTTTAAAGAATGTGGATGACGCTTTCATCATTTCATTACTTTAATTATTTATATTCTTTTCCAGTCTCTTTATTATTTTATTGTAATTAATTGGATGACTTCGTGGTGCAGTTACCAAGGTATCGGCTTCGGCGTCGGGGGTCGTGGGTTCGATTCCCACACGGGACAACTATTTGTGTCACCCACAGATAGTTGTTTCGCATCTGGGTGTTTATCCGAGTGAAATTTATGTTTGTAAAACGTCCCTACAACGCAGGATAATATTATCATCCTAAAATAAGGGCAATGTTTTTTTTTTAAATATTTGTATCGAATTAAAAACTATTTTTAGTGATACCAAAGAAGTATATTCTTCTCACGCTCGTACGTAAGTACATTAACCCATTTTTTTTTCTTCTAAACGCGGTAAAAGAAAGGCGATTTACCGGGTGGTAGAGTCGCTCACAGACAACCACAGCACCAGTTAACGATGGCCTCCAGACACCTCCTCATAATGCGAAGTGAAAACAGATAAAAGCAAACGCCAATATATTTAAAGATGCTACCTATATATGTTCCGTTGCTGAGCAAAGACCTCCTATGTGCAGAGAGTAATAGGGCATAGTACACCACGCCAAATTTTTTGTGCATATCGGCCCAGTTGGAGAATCGGACAACATCTGTTTTTCACCCCCCTGTTAAGATGTTAAGGGTGGTCCACCCGTAAATTTTTTTAGTATAAAATTTTTTGTTTTTATTTTTTTATGATACAACATACAAAAATACATACAAGCCTAAATTTTCACCTCTCTACGCAGACGTAGTTGCGGGCAGCAGCTAGTTAAATTATAAATATAGAAGTCGGTTTATTCTTGGCGAAGATAGTCAATTAATATTTTATATATATCAAAGATCGAAATAAAGCATTAATAAGGAATTGCATTTGACACAGATTTTTTAGTATAAACTTTTTTTACAGGCTGATTTAATGGCCACATAACTGGCAATGCACAGACATCATATCGCGCGGAGTAAAATATGGAGTTGCCATGATATTTAGGATTGCCAAACTGATATATTTTTAATGGCGATACGTTTAATATGAGCATAAATACAGAGTTATTTAGTTATGGAGTCGAAATTTACAATAAAGTTATTTATTAATACAGTATAATTAAAAAAAATTAAAGGGATACAACGATTACACATCATATTACGTATATTAAATACAAAATTGTGGAATGCATTATCATCTTGAAATCAGGATGGCCAAGAATCGCTATTCTTTTAAAAGCAAAGTTCGTGAGCGCATGCTTAAACAACTGTCAGCAGAATCAGTTCATCGTTAATATATATTTTTTTTTGCAAATGTTTTATAATACACTATGTATTTATAGTTTATAGTACATATTACGCTGTATCAATGCATATAGATATATATTTATGTACAATTATATTATATACATACAGATTCATATGTTTACATATATATATATATACATATTTATGTATGTTTATTTTTATGAATAATATTTTATCCTTCCACACGTAATATCTGTGCACCTACCTCACTTTAGGTAGAGGATGCCACTGGCATTAAGTCCGCCTTTGTACAGTGTGTGCATGAAGATTAAATAAATAAATAAATAAAT